CCCCCACCCCCCCCCACCCCCGCGGCGGGGGGGGGGGGGAGGCCCCGCCCCTTCGCAAGCAGAGCAGGAAGGGGGGCGGCCCCGGGCGCGGGAGGGGGGGCGGTTCCCCGACGCCCCTGTCGCGACGCCACCCACCCACCGACCCTCGTGGCAGCTGACGTGCAGAGCTGGCCGCTGGGCATCTTGAGCCCGAGAAGGGTAGCGAGGCCGGCCGGCCATGGAGAAGGTGACCACTGGCGTGGCGGGGGCAGGTGGGGGTCACGTTCCCTGAGGAAAGGGGCCCGCGGGGGTGGGGGGCGCTGCGCTCAAGGCGGTGCGGCCCTGTTCGGGTGCTGCTGAAACCGCTCTCTAGCTGGAGTTGCCCAAAGTACAAGAAGGGTGCATGGCTTCCTGGAAGGGTACAAGGTTTTGAACTTCATCTACCAGAGAAAGCCCTTGTGCGCCAGTTTGGTGTAGTGGTTAAGTGCGCGGACTCTAATCTGGGAGAACCGGGGTTGATTCCCTACTCCTCCACTTACACCTGCTGGATGACCTTGGGCAAGCCATAGCTTTGGCATAGCTGTTCTTGAAAAGGAGCACTTTCTGTCAAGAACTCTCTCAGCCTCACCTACCTCACAGGGTGTCTGTTGTGGGGAGGGGAAGGGAAAGGAGTTTGTAAGCCGCTCTGAAACACCTTTGGGTATAAATCCAACCTATTCTTCTTTAAGATGGCACCCCAGAAAGGGCCACAACCCCAAAGGGTGGAGGAGGAGAAGAGATTGGATTTATACCCCTCCACCCTTCACAGCATTTCGTGCGCCTTGGTGTTTAGTCATGCCGGCCACATGACCACGGAAATGTTTTTGGACAGTGCTGGCTCTTCAGCTTTGAAACGGAGATGAGCACCGCAACCCTAGAGTTGGATTCGACTGGCTTTCGAGCAAGGGAACCTTTACCTTTTACCCTTCACTACCCAAAGGAGTCTCAGAGCTGCTTACAATCTCCTTTCCCTTCCCCTCCCCACAACACACACCCTGTGAGGTGGGTGTGGCTGAGAGAGCTCTTTAGAGAACAGCTCATGAGAGAACAGCTCTGAAAGACCCAAGGTCACACCAGCAGCTGCATGTGGAGGAGTGGGGAATTAATATTAATACGGGTTCTCCCAGATTTGAGTCCGCACTCCTAAGCACTATTGGAGTGGGTATACAGCATTTGGCTCCTCTTTCTAACCGTGATGTAAGGTCATTTCTTGCCTGCCCCTCAATTAACTTTCAGAAGCCAGAAACATCCAGAGGACTACAATACAGCAACTGAACATCTATTGTCTTATATCTATAATAAGCCAGGGCAGAAGTTATATCAACTGTGCTATTCAGCCACAGATGGAGGGCAGGGGGAGAAGAAGTTTTAGGAGGGGGTCCCTCCCTATACATATGCTCTTGTCATCTTCAAGACTTCCAAAAGCAGAATGCTTCCAACATCGGACTCACTTGCCTTGCTCGACATTTGAGAGAGTCTTTTAA